TATAATGGCATTAAATCGCCAAACGTGATGGAAGTCGGTTTCAGTGTAGAGACTCCCTAATAAACGTTTGTAGTAAACTGCATTCGGGTGGATTATAGATTAGGTGATGGTAGTATAATGAAGTGCATGGGCAGGGGTATCCCATACACAGATTATGTGGATCATATTCAGGTCAGTCCGCGATTTGACGGCTCAAATAAACACAAACGTCTTTTTAGGGGGTTTTACGGTTAGTATACTTGTAAAATTATAGTAGCTAAAAGAAATGCCTGTTTACCACAAAAATCTATTTATAGTATCAAAAAATGCTGACATCATCAAAAAATTACATTTATTGACAATAAACTACAAACATTATCCTACATATCGAAACAGGAAATAAGGCAGAATTTATTATACAATTAAAGTCTAGAAGTTGTTTCATTCTTTTGTCTTTGTGGTTTCTACATTGTCTTTTTCAGCATCCGATTTAATTATTCTGGCATCTTGTGGCACAAGATTAGGTATTCCGTTGATAATCGGATATGCAATTCCAATCTCATCACAAATCAACTCGTTCTTTTCCTTGTCATATCTGTGGAAATATTAAAGTGAAATTTACATCAAAACCAGCCATGTACATGTAATAATACAACCTTGTTCAAATCTTAACAGTCTTCATAAATCTCTGAATAAAGTGTTACAGATCTTATATTTTTAATTTGAAAATACCACTGACGCGCATTGCTAATCAAACACGTTCACGTTGTGTTATGTGTGAATGTGTAGGGAGAACATGTGACGATGTGTATTTCTGTATACATGTACATCCACACGTTTCCGGTATGGTGACCTTACTGCTGACCAATAACTGACCGTTTTTTTAATCTTATCAAAATGCATATTTTAATTTATGCACCTAGTATATAAGCACAAAATCCGCCAATCCTTGACACTCACATTTTTCCTTCACGGTATAAGAAAGTCTCTGCGATCTATTGAAAGTATAACTTAGCATAAATTATCTGGATATTGTTAATTTTTCAAAATGTTCATCAAAAACGTATAACAATACCTTAATGGCTTTTTAGAGAGTGGACACACAAGAATTTTAAGAATGTTTTCATCAAATGAGTTGGCAACACTACATGAAGTGGAAAACCTCTGTAAAGTTGAGGTGTTCAAAACACGTCTACCTGTTCAAATAAAAAAATACTTTAATTTATTGCCTTAAACATTTCATGTGAGCACAAATTAATGTCATGGTTTTCCACGTGTAATTTTATTTCCTGAAATTCTTTACCTTAGTTTGAAAGTTTGGACCATGGATATCAGAAAGATACCTCAGTGGGTAAAGCTGACCTGGATAGTGAAATACGAGTTCGAGATTCCCAACCCAGGTACATAATATATCAGTGGCGGATCCAGGAATCTTCTTGAAACTTTTAGGTTGGGGGGGGGGGGCACGGACACATATTTATGTACTAAAAAAGATTTATTACATCTTATGTATATTTTGGACATAAAAAAGGGGCTGGACCGGGTGGACCCCCTCTTAATCTGCTAGTATGTACTACATTTCCTCCTATCCAAAACATATTTGGTGTTGATCATCCCTGGACTTGCCATCTCATGGGCAATGAAAAAAAGAAATGAAGAAAGAATTGATTGATTGATTGAATGCATATTGTTTAACGCCGAGTCGGCAAATTTCAGTCATGTTTCAACTGAAATGAAGGAACGAAAAAAGAAGGGGAAATGTTTTGGAGAATCTAATTGCTGTTACAGGTTTCCATACATCATTTCGTTTGAAGGACTACAAGGCGAAACACAAATTATTCACCAAGTACTCCATAATCAAACTATAATAACACAAACATAGCTTTACAAAAACCATAATATTCTATACCTTTTCCAATAAATGATAACAATTGCCTAAAAATCATTCTTTCAGAAGTAATTGAGAAATTCTCTTCTCAGTTGCACCTCATTTTAGCCTATTCCCCAGTTTTTCTATCTTCATTATTGAAGAGTTCCAGTATAAAGAAGTGTAGTGCAACTTTACAAGTGAGGGTTAAATTTTAATTTTAAATCCCTGTGTTGGTTCGTTTTTCGTTATATTGTATATATAACTTTTTGACTAACTATTTTTTACTTTTAAAACTCAATTTTACAATCAAAGATAGGTTTTCTATGTAAAACAATCAAAGGCACGTTCACAAATATTGGCACTGCTGATAGAAAATTTGCTTGTACTTGTAGAATATAACATGTACTCACCATTAGACAACAAAGTGTGCGAAGAGGCTAGAACCTTTGGTTTAAAGGTAATTTTTTATTATTCTTCTAAGCAGTAAATGAGTTATCTCTAAATGCAATTTAACTCCAAAATTTTTTTTAATATAATAATTCAATTTCATCATGTTCATATTATAAATTTATAAAGATATTCAGCATGATGGTTGAGGTTTTATTCTTTGCAGACAGTAAAAGAGGACTTTGTTAGTAACTTTTTAAAAGCAAACCTTCCAAGAAAACGGTTACGGAAAGGGGAAATAGAAAATCTTGAACACTTCAGACAGAATTTGGATAATAAGCGCCCCAAGAAAAAGCCACTGCCAGTGTCAAAGAAAAGGAGCCTTACATCTCGAGCACGACGAAAGTTGAAGTTGTTTGACCTGCCAAAGGAAGGCCAGAAGTAGGAATTTGCATGAAATTAATTCACTTTCTTGTCATTTAGGAGGATACTATTGAAATTTTGTTCCCAGATTAAAAAGTCTGCGCTACTAGTATAAAGCAACAAATTTTAGGGTAAAGGAATGATACATGTATATGTTAGTAATAGTGTCTGTCTTGTATTATTGCTAATTAAAATACTGAATTCTATTACAATATATATTTTATACCTTTGAAGATTTGAGACCTACCTTCCCATGCATGAACTGTGGAAAGATTACATGAGGCAAACACTGGGACTTACAGATAAAAACAAGTAAGAATGGGAACCTGTCCAGCAATGTTTTTGTATGAATTAATTCAATTAAATATAAAGGATGGACTTTACAGGACTCATTATTTTGACTTCACCACTTTAACAACAACTGCATTAATTTATTAACATATACATCTTCACATCACTTTTTCTCCTTTAATTTGATTACCAGATAAAGAAAAAAGTTAACTGACATTTTAACGCATGTGTTTATTTGGACGAAAATGAAATGTGAAATCCTTCTCATTAGTGGACAGGTGGCCTCTAGATTTTAGTTTTACAACACCTGCATACTTTATTTTTAATTTCTTTTTTCAGATCCTTTGATCAGCACAACTGTGAAAACATATTAAAAGGAGACTTTCATGGCTGTTTTTTAACTGTATCAAAATCCTGTTGTCCATCTTACATTGGTGCTACTGGTCTTGTTATTATGGAAACAAAGAATACCTTCAAAATTATTACGAAACAGAATCAAGTTAAATGTAAGTGCCCTTATTTTACAAGAAAGTAATAAATGATTTTTTTTAAAAAAACACAGTTGAACTTCAATATCTAAAACTTCAATATCCCTTGGAATAGCTTGGATATATTATAGTGATTTTGATGAACCAACCATCTTTTCTTAATGTTTTGACTTCAATATTTAGAATCCTTGCATATTTTGAAGCTTTTTCTCAGTCACATTGAGTTCATGATAATGAGGTTTGACTGTATGTTTAGCATATTTCTAGCATTGTATAACCTCAGTAAACTTGAGTTTTATCATTTAAAACTGACTGGAATTGTAATTTTCTTGTTTCATTATATTTTTAGGTATTCCAAAGAGAAACAGTGTTTTCATGTTTGAAATTGATGGACATTATATAACTCTGTATGGAAACAATTTCTGCTGTCACCCAGTGCTGAGATCAACACATAAGTTTAAACCCAAAAAATATGTTGCAATATAAATAAATGTTCTAAAAGCAAATTCAAATTTAATTTTATTAGTTTATTGCCTTGTAATGGAATCAAAGGGGATATAGCAGCACACTTTTGTGTGTCTGTGGGTTAGTTTGTCCCAAACAACGTCCTCTCAAGAATTTTTCATTCATATGTATACACCACCACTTGCCGATGGAGAGCTGCAAATTTTGTTGTATGCTTGGTACTCCAGGCCATTGAGCAGTGAGGGATCTTTTTCGTGCCAGCACCTTCTGTGACACGGGATGTCGGTTTATACAGTCTCATCCAAAGGACCAGTCTCTACGTCCCACAGTGGGATTCAAACCTAAGACATGAATCAACTTCTTATTTTGTGACCCTGGAGTAGACTCTAACCACTGCACCATGTGGGCGACCTCGTGCATAACTAAAGTGACATAATTTGCATCAGGATTTCATTAATGTTAAATGCTGCCTTGTTCTATAAGTATACTTAGTTGTGAGAGCATGCTCTACTATGCAGTGCCCTTGTCAGGACATAATACTCTGTACATATAGCTGTCCAGCAGATAAACCAATACCAATGCTTCATTACAAATATTTGTCCAATTGTTACAATATTTGGGTTTTCAGTAGGAAGGATGGACTTAAACTTGTGTTACAACAATTTTCTGTAAACAAAACAATTTTCTTTAAACAAAACTTGACAAGGGGTTTGTCAACAGGGGAGAGGAACTTGTACAGTATATATGTAGAATAACTGAAGAGTAAAGTGATATAAAAAAGAAAGATAAGGGAAGATTCACAGGTTAGCCTGGCAAAAGTCCTACTAAATTTTCTTTGATCCAGGCTGAATTTATACTCTTTTGAACTGAAGTTCTAGAATAAGTTTTTTCAGGATGACTTTGAAATTCCAAAAATGTTATAGACCATTTCAGGGAAACTGGGGTACTACTCTTTTGCATGCTCGGCAAATTGATATTACATGTACATGTATTTTGGTGAAACATGACTTGAACCCAATTGTCTTATACATTAAGTCATAAAATTATTTATCAACAAAAACTTTGCCAAAACTTATTAAATCCTGCAGAAGTTATTGTCAAAGGGCTAATTAGGTCACTGCATGTCAGAACCTTATTTAAACAAATTATGAATTTCGAAGATTTTGGGCAGATAACAATTATGACCACAAAGAAAGACTTCTTACTATGATGCCATATTTTATTTTTCTATAAAAATGAAAAAAGTATATATATCAAAATTTGTATAGAGTGTACATATTCTTATTATTTCAATAAATAACATATGTATAAGCTTTGCAGTCACATAGCAGTTTTAAAATTATCATACATATCCCTGTATCAGCAATGCATTTTGTGATTATCTTAATTGCTTCAAAATTAAAAGATTTCTATTACATTAAGATTCTAAGATGATTTTAATTTGGAATCTTTTTCTTCTTTACACTTCCGTATAATGCGGTCAAAATGGAACAAATAGAACTGGCAAACAAAGCGGAAAATCCCCATTGTAAATACCTGAAATTGATAAAAACAGAAGTTCTATAAATAGTTATTGGGGAATTCCACATTTTAAAAGCAGACAAAAAAGCTTCAGCAGAAAAGTCAATATGTTTGATTCATCTACATTTTTTAAACACAACAAAGAAAGTTACTTAAATGATTTTTTTCAAAGAAACATTGGAAAATCATGGAATCTATCAAATAAAAAAAAAGGGTTATGTGATAAAATGATAAAATAAAATGTATTGTACCTGTTGAAGTAAATCCACAATTGAGGTGGCTGGAGACATTCCACTGGACAGATTGCTTAGCAACCAACCATCCATACCTACATAACTCAGGAACCTGCCATTCTGTACAAATAGTACATATATAGTACAATGTAGTTACTAAAAATATCAACCAATGTATCTACAAAACCAGATCTCTCTGGCATCAAACTGAAAGATGCACAGTGAAGTTGACAGAACATTTTATCTAATCTGACATGCAGATGGTGCCAAATTTTGTATCAGAATAGACAGGAGATCAGACTGAGTAAAGTACAGAATAGGGAAAATAGTAAACTGGGATTAAAAATAAAGGTTGAGTCAACTTGACATTCAGAGTGAAATGGATTGTACATTTGTCAGATTAAGAGGACTGGGTGGTTGTGGCCATTATCTCCCTTAGAAGAAGAGCTCCATATAAAGATACACAAATATTCTCAAATCTTAAAATGTATGAATTTTTTCTTTGCCAAATGATAGTTAAAAGCTAAAGATATCATATATATATTTAAAAAATTAAGTTTATCTGATGGTTGACCCCAGCCTTTTTAAATAGTTTACTGTATTAGAATTGAAAAGTATAAATTGTAGCTAATATCTGACAACAGTGAAAGGTAATACAGACCACTGCATCCCTGAAGACTGTTTTGGCCACATCACAGGGTGAGAAAAGACCTACAGTGTCCGAGATGAGCACGGTTTCTTTGGGCTAGAATAGAAATTGTCAAGTACATCTTTAATGGAAATAACATTGGATTAAAACAATTTCTTTTACCACTTAGCATCAATATAACCTCTTTGGTAAATTTCAACACTATAAAGTTCTATTTAAAATTCATTTCTAGAGTATTTTTTATAAGATAATCGATAAAGAAATCTGCAAGATGAAGACAAAGTTAGGTGTTAACCTTGGACTTGTTTTCCTCTGCTAGACCTGGTGTATCTGTGTCAGGAGGGAATGCCATAGTAACGTAGATATTGTAAGGCTTAACCTGTACCAAGATTATTGAAATATGTCGGTAAATAAAACCAATAAAAAAAAAAACCTTATTAATTTCATGTTTCAATCACTGTCTAGTTGAAATGCAAATGGCCATTATATAAACCATAAAAATGTAACTTTTTTGAAAATTACTGAGGCGTGTCTTGCTTTTACCTCCATTTGAAGAGATTCTGCGAATCCCCTGAGAGCAAACTTTGACGCAGAATAGGCAGTGTATCCAAACACACCCACTTGTCCTGCCTGAGAAGAAATAAACACGATCCTCCCTGCATTGTTTTCTTTCATGTCTTTAATGGCAGCCTTGGTGACATTCACACTTCCCACGAAATTTAAATCTATCATGCGCTTTAAAAAAAATCATCAATTAGAAATATTTATCAGCACGTTTTACGTTTATATACAAGGTGTACTGTATAAGCAGAATTTTTGGTGAGTACATGTATTTAATTTTGGCATTATTAGCGACGGTTCTGAGATCACTTAAATTAAATATCGCTAAAAAATAAACTGGGTTTAATTTGTAATAGCTTCATTAGTGAGCATTTTAAAATCGCTAAAATTACTTCTTGCTAAAAATAAAATACTAGATTTTAAGTAGAAATCGCTAAATTTGTGTCTCACTAAAATTTCCACTTATACAGTATTTATTGGAAGCCCCCCCTTCCACTATAAATTGAGTATATATGTACACTTAACTCATTGTTTAAAATATTTTTTTATTCATCTCATTGTAGGCAAACGATACAATAAATTTATTTCATTTAAGTTTTCCTATCAAAACATTGATGGGAAATTGTGTGTACATTTTTGCCCCATCAAAAACCTGGGGTCAATTTAAATTTTTTCTAATACATATACAAAGTGTATATATGTGTGCTTCAATGAAAGGCATAACTTTTTCCAGAGTGCTTTAATTCAGAATTTAGAAAAAAATGTAGACTGCTGAAAAAAAAATCACTGGGCCAGAAGACGAAGATAACAAAGAATATTAATTATACCAACAAAATTGATATTTGTTGATATTTGGATCCATAGTCCATATCAATCTGTTTTCCTAAAATGCCTTTTTTCAAAATGTCCTAATTGATTTTTCTGATGTTTTCCTTTAACTCAGCCATTAGAAATAATCAGTGGGAGAGATACAGTAAACCAACTTTTATTTGCGTGCGAGAAATTTTCGTGAGGTTCGCGAGAGCCTCGGCATAGCGAATATTTCTCGCCGCGAACCGGTCCTTAAGGTCTCTGTGTCTATTAATAACAGATCCAAAAAGGCTATATTGCGAAAATTAATCGTCGCGAATAAGTTTACCCTAGGTTATTCGTGAAATAAAGTCGTCGCGAATAAAAGTTGGTTTACAGTACCTGAAATTGCTCTACAGATGTTTCTTCAAACCGTCCAGCTATAGCACTCCCTGCATTGTTGATAAGGATGGTGATAGGTCCCAGCTCCTTCTCTGCCTACAAAAGTAATTTAATCTGACAAAATAATCCTGTTTCCATATCAATGGGTAAAATCAACTGTTTTTTAAATTTCTTGTTTAAACTCTTTGCAATTACCAGATGGTTAAACATTTTGTTTCACATTTAAATATGAAATATCTATCTCATGAAAATAAAAACTGTAAGAGTCACAGAAATTTGGTGATCTACAGTTTACAAATAATTTCCTCCTACACCTGTGTTACAGCTTACCTTATTGACAGCATTCTTCACTGTGTCTGCATCCTTTGTGATATCCACCGAAATTGCTAAGACCTTCTTTAAAAATTATTTTTAAAAAAAATTATACGTATGATGAGATACAGGCATCTTTTCTTGTCAAATTCATCATTATTTATTGAAAAATGAATTCACCTGTAAATTTCTGTCCTTGATTTGTCTTTCAATCTCTTGTTTAGCTTCATCCAATCTTTTCTGCAAGATATCATTTTTGTCAATATTTTTTTTGTAAAGAATGAGGAGTATAAGTGTACCCATTTAAGTATGTCCCTTTGAAGACAATTAAACAGGGTCATATATATAGCTAAATATTCTTAAGAAATCTTTAATTTTGATAAATCCTTTCTTCTAGTAAAATGTCCTTGTGAAATCTTGTATTTTAATCCAGTGGCAGATTTAAGGGGGGGGGGGGGGGGGTGCACCCAGCACGCGTCCACCCTAAAATTGTCAAAGTTACAGTTTCGTCTAGAAAATGTAAATATGTCTACTTGTTAGACCTCATTTTTACCCTACCAAATCTCTAGAACCCAGGAGCTTCCGGGGGCTTCGCCCCCTGGGCCTTCACCAGGGCTTTGCCCTGGACCCACTGGGGGCCTCAAGGCGGCCCCCATGCCCCTTGCCTACTTTTGGCACCCCCTCTAACTTCAATTCCTGGATCTGCACCTGTAATCAATCCCTATTGATTTGTGGGAGACAAAAGTGGATTTGAAATTCCATGGATGAAAAATAATGTTTAATTAAAAAAAAATTTTTTTCTAGTTGGAGGGTATATAGTGATTGGGATGTCTGTCCGTCTGTACATCTGTCCATCCTTTACACTTTGGGGTATCATTTAGTGAGCTTAGTGCTCACAGTAGCTTTAGTTTATGATTACCTCATTTCTGGCAATGATTGTGACATTAGCCCCTTGTCTAACTGCTTCGATAGCAAGAGCTTTACCAATGCCACTTGATCCACCAGTTATCTAGAAAATATAGAATATAAATTCAAACTTATAGTTCAAACTTGTAGTAAATGATGACTAAAATCTAATAATTGACATGTGCCTTCAGATTTGTTATGGCTTGCACAGGTTAAGGTTCATGCTCAGCAAATAATATGTTATAGGTTACTTTCAATACTTTATGTGATTGTCTGTATTAAAAATATCATGTAGCTAAAAATGTTTAACTGCTGAACTGTTTATACATGCACAGGTCTGTTCTAATCTCAGTGAGATGTAGTCAGGTCCAGCACAATACCCTGATAAAGGTAAGCTATATAGCTTTATCAAGGTATTACAAATACCTTAATCAAGGTATTTTATGTAATGAAAATTCAAAAAAATTCTTTAAAAAATTAAATACTGAAAGTCGAGTTCTGAGTTGTTGTCAGTAAATTCACCCATGCATGTAAAGTATTCAAACACAAAGAAATCAGTGTAAAGGCATGTCGTGTGAGGAGATATTCTTTTATCAAATTATGCCGTCTTTTTGATACCAGAGTGCTTTTCATGCATGAGTGGACACAGTGCCCACAACTCAAAATTCGACTTTTAAATTTCATTAAGCTATATACCTTTATCAATTATCAGGGTACTGTGCTAGACCTGGTAGTAGGGACTAAAAATTTTGGAACAACGTAGTGGACACCAGAACAAAATTTTAGTCCTTATGACATCTCGCAGATTAAGATCTGTTCATCAGATGATCAGTTCAAAGCACAGGCACTTGTTTCGGTAATGAATGTTTGACCCATAGTATAATAATAATACAGTGTTATGATTATGCTATGGGCATGAAATTCAATACAGAAACAAGTGCCTGTTCATAGCCATTCACATACGTGATAATGATACGGGAAGCTTACCAAAACATGTTTTCCTTTAATATTAATTTGTTTAGGTGATATAAGTTTTGAAATTATAAATATTATGAGCAGCAGAAAGAAAATAAAACAGTAAAGGTACATTGCCAGCGTCAGCGTGAAAAAGTGTTATGTGAACACCGGAAATAAATAATTTGCACACTAAATTTAAACACATAGGAGAAGAGAAAGAAAATCCGGAATGACTATAATTCAAAATGTTTGTTGAACAGAGATAGAGGAAACTTATAACGAATAGCATTCTAATATTTAATTTTACTGGTTAATCAGAAATTTCCAGGATTGTGAATACTATCTTATTATTTTCATTTCCCCCTCCACGTGCACTGCTGTTTTTAAACATATAACTGTTAGCTGTATAATTGAATATCTATTGTACAGTACCGACCAGACCCAACCTGACACCAAAGCAGTCCCAGAAAGCAGTCCCCGGGACTGCTTTGGGACCGCTCTGGGACTGCTGTGGGACTGCTCTGGGACCGCTGTGGGACTGCTCTGGGACCGCTATGGGACTGCTCTGGGACGGCTATAGAAAGCAGTCCCAGCAGTCCCAGCTGGCCCTGGGACTGCTTTCTGGGACTGCTTTGTTCACTCATGTGTGAAAGAGGTTCTGAGTGACATGATAGCTCCGCCCCCTTGTGTATTCTGAATTTGCAGGCTCCCTGTTGTTTTGTTTACTTGCAGCAGAGAGGAGTTTAAACTATTAAAAAAGCAAGGATTTCTTACAATCTTTTAATAACTTGAGATTACATGTTTTATACTTAATTTATAGTTTTAGGGACTGCATATTTACACAAATGTAATACAGAATATTTTAAATTATAAAGTTGTTAAAGAAGGAAGTAAGGAGGAGATTTTTATTCTTAAAATAAAATACAGGATCATAAGAAAAAATATCTATATGTACTTTTATTTTATTATTAAATCTAAAATTAAATACCCAAAACTTGCATTTGACACTATTAAAAAAATCATTTCATTTAGATATAAGATTTTTTGATTGAAAAGGCTACACGTTTTACAAGTACCACGCTAAAAGAGTATTCCATGCAACCCTCAAATAAAAATCTAACAATTTATGACATGAAATAAAAATTTGCACCATTCTTCCGTAACATATATAAGTAATTTGAACAATTACACGGTAATTTACCGATTAATTAGTTTTTAATTTATAAATAAGTTATTAAGATAGTACATTTAAATAATAAATAAATAAACAGTTAAAAATACCGGGAATTAGATTTTCTTTTTTGTTTTGCTTTTGTTTACCTGGCCGATAATGTGTATAAATAAAATGGTATAAACACCTGCGGTTTCAATCGCCTTTGGGCAGAAAATCAATCATGCGTGTTATTTGGGTACAAGTATCAGTGTTACACATCATTGAACATGCTGCTTAATTAACAATGACCCTAATTTCAATCTATGTAAAAATGTAATGCAATAATAAGATAAATGAAATGGGTATAAATTTCCTTCAAGATTAATTAATGTTGAACATAATTTTAGGATTCTATACTGGTCACTAATGCAATTCACAAATAAAACAATAATTTTTAAATTATTACCATGTCAGTAAAAATAATACTGAAAAATATTACTTGGCAAAGTAGCTACGAATTTTTCAAAAGCCCTAATACTTAAAAAAATGCCTTTAGAGTATCCCGATAGTATGGAAATCGGCCATGATCTATAATGATAAGATCTATTTAAAACTAATTCTGGTGAAATAAAATTAATTAATTTTAATTTTCTGTATGGAAAATAAATATGGGAGCCAGTATCAATCACAAAAAACCCCAAGATAATTGTGATTAAATAATTATGTTCAGTGTAATTCATTTATGTAGGTGTGTAAGCTTTCTTCCTTCAATAAATATTATTTCAAATTGTTTCAAATCTATGCGCGTACTACTCATACATGTAAATGATCTTCGCATTGTAAGGATTCCTGGCATACTGCTCAGAAAAAAAAATCAGCTGCCTTTTATAGTTCCATTGTTTATTGGAAATCTCATTTCTGAGTTAGCTCCGCCCATTAAATTAATAAACCCCGCCCAATGGGACTGCTAGGACTGCTTTCTGGGACTGCTGGGACTGCTTTCTGGGACCGCTGAGACTGCTGGGACCGCTCTGGGACTGCTGTGGGACTGCTCTGGGACCGCTGTGGGACTGCTCTGGGACCGCTGCGGGACTGCTTTAGCAGTCCCAGAAAGCAGTCCCCGGGACTGCTCTGGGACTGCTTTGTGTCAGGTTGGGTCTGGTCGGTACTGTACTTAAAGTTAAAAAAGGATTTTTACAGCCGGAAACAAGAAAGAATTTTTTCCTTTTAAATATGGAATTTCCGAAGTTTTGCCAATTACTTCGAACATTTTTTTTTTTGGGGGGGGGGGGTTAATATCTTTTTCGATGTCTGTTTGTGTGTGTGTGTGTGGGGGGGGGGGGGGGGGTTAAATTGAAGACGTTCTTTTGCATGTATGTTCTTACAAGGTTTGGATAACATGTAACCGATTTTTTTCTCCCAAATTGTTTACATTTTTTGATATGTCACACAGAATCCAATCGTCACCATAGCTGCTGCGCAGAATTGAAACCTGAAACGAATCGCGTTTTACACCTGTTTCTGAGTATATAACCATACCCTCAAACTCACGCAATTTGCTCTTTTCATACAACCCACACAGTAAACAGACATCCCGAGCCTCGCTCTGGTGGGGCATCTGAGTGTTCTTCATCCTATGAATTTTTAGGAAGGAGGTAGGTTTGATATAACAAAATTTTAAAACATATTTAAAAAGTATTTTAATTAAAAAAAAATAATGTACATGTATATTACATTTCAAAAAACGACGAGATACGATATTTTTCTGCTTAAAATTTAAATGCACTGTGATATCTTCTTATATCATTTGAGTTATGTGTAAAGAAAAAAATGAAGTTGATTTATTCTTAAAAATTATTTCAAAATTGATATCTAAAATTTAGGACTACACCAAAAAATGCAAGGAAAGTTTGTCATTTTGATTCTTGCGGTGCTGCCATGTTTGTTCCTGTACAAATCTGATGGTTTGGTCATTGATGAACGTTGGTATTCGCCGGGGCGTACAGACTTTGTGCTGGACAACCAATTCTACACTCTTCTAGGTGAAGTATTGTTTCATTATGTTAAATAATTTATAAAGTGTATCATATGAAATGTAATGACGACGATCCTTGAATTCCCAAAGAAAACAATTTGGAGTATTTTATTAAAAAAAAATTTTTTGATAGTTTTTTCGGAACTGTCTAAACCTTCAAGAAGAAAATACAAGTAGTTCCCCGTGCAAGAATTTTTTTTTCATGAGTAAAATTCTTCGAAATTTTTTTAAAAACCATAATAGATATATATACCTGCACTGCAATATTCACCGAGCCAAAAGGGCTCAAAATGCTCATAAAAATATTGAATATGTGAAAATTTTTATATACAGAAAGGAGAAGCAATTCCAAACTCACGGACCTTAGGAAAGCTCAGCTAACCCGTGTCAGCGAACAAGGCGTCAACAAATACAATGTCAAAGGTGACGCAAATGACGCAGCGATGATCTTTTTTAGCCTGAAGCCAACAAGTGTAACTTATGTGAGTTTTTTTTCTCTCCTTCGGTATATTTTTGTCAGGTATTATAATCTTGTAGAAGAGTGATTTGATAATCTGAATATAAGATTTTTAGCATGTAACCCCCCCCCCAAAAAATGTAGTTATGCAGATTATCGAACAAAGACATAATTAATTTTAGTGGAGAAATATCAACGAATATTTGAATTTTAACCAATTTATAACCCGCTAATTAATTTTTTTTCCACATTTGAAACTTAAGTAAATGATATTTCATATATTTCCAACAGAAAGTTCCATCGATATATCGATGTGGTCGGAGACGCTGCAGCAGAAGAAGGTACAGGATAAGGAGCAGATATAGGCGGAAGTACGTGAACAGAAAGAGAAGGGCGCGTAAAATGAGGAAATGGGTCCGAAAGTATGGTGGTCAAAAAGTAAGAAAATATAACCGGAAGATCGTGCGAAAATCAAGAAAAAATGGTCGAGGAAAAGTAAGACGGAAATATAGAAAATCTGGTTATAGACGAAAGAGGCGAAAAGTTAGAAGAAGCAGAAAAAGGTCCAGAAACGGGAGAAAGAAATGGAGGAAGAAATTAAGAAAAAACAGGCGAAGAAAATATAGAAGCAAGAGAAAGAAATGGGGGAAGAAATCAAGAAGAAGCCGACGTAGGCGGTCTAGGGGAAGATGGAGATCCGGAAGATGGTCCCGGAAGTACAAAAGTAAATATTTCGAGGCCTCCGGAAAGGTTGGTGTGTACAGAGTATCGCTAAAAATAAAACCGTACAGTACCCAGATAGTATTTCTTTCGCCCAGAACAAGGTCTCTCTACAATGGCAGTGGAGGCATAACACGCATCTATAATTTCAAGCGGGCTCGAGTATCTTGGTGGCGTTTGATAAAATTGTTTTGATGAGTTAATCATTAAAGTCATTCGAATATTTCAGCAAATTTGATTTTTTTTTCGAGGACGTACATTTGTACGCTTGCGATGCATTTGTGATTTTGTTTATTCAGAAACAACATCCTGTATAAAGTCAACAACGATTTAAAACAATTTCAAAATAAATATTAATTGCTGTTTTTGTGGATTTTTTTTAAATATAAAGTTGGAAATTTTTAACTTGTAAATTATTGATAATTCAGTACTTTCTTTGAAGATTTATCTTTAGGCGTCGGAACTAGGGGGGGGGGGGGGGGGGTAATTGTTGTTATATAGCACTTCACTTTCCTTTGTAGCAAAATTAGACAACTTAATCATGGGAATTGAAAATACGGGCTTAACCGCAAAATAGCATGTAGTTTCAAATTAGTACAATCAAAAAATAATATTTGAATTTTCTACAGTTTCTATATCAACAAATGTTATTGAACACGGAAAGAAATGTTAGTGTATCTTCAAATCCATCGTCGCAAACCACGGCCAAAATGTACGCTCCTCTCCCATCTGGAGAGAGCTATATATGCGGACTCCGGACCGTGGCTTGAGACGATGCTTCAAATCATGGCAAGACAAAAAGTAAAATTAAAGTTAAATGTACGTGTATACTTTTGTCGTTTTTGTTCAGTTTTATTGGTACCGTTCCTTAAAATTTTATAAGTTATTATATCAATTGCAGATCAAAATAATTTAACAAAAGATTTTTAGGTTAAAACCCCCTTAATATGAAAGTCTTGCAGAAAGATGCAACAGTCTATGATCAAATAATAAACTTCATGTTATAAAATCCCTATTTCTCATATAGGCTGAAAAAATACATATAAATTAATAATCTTATAAAGACCGACCCTTTTCCATAATGATATCTGGTTGACCAAAGTGGATATATTAAAACTACAACCCATTCTCATCATGATAAAGGCAAGTAGCAACGGGGGGGGGGGGGGGTATGGGGGCCTGGCCCCCAACTTTTTTTTCCAACATTACTCTTACTATTGGAAATGTTCATTGAAAGGCTGGTGGCCCCCCCCCCCCAACCCCACTCACCTTATAGTACACTAAGTTAATATCAAGGAAAATTTAGTATAGAAATCAGAGAAATTAGTACCGAAAGTAATTGTCATTAAAAGAAGTTGGCCTCTATTCCCCCCCCCCCCCCCCCCCCCCCCCCCCCCCCCCCCCCCCCCCCCCCCCCCCCCCCAAAGAAATAAGATTTTCGAGTTTGGGCAAATTCTTTTTTTTGTTTTCTTTTGCATGTCAACTTTTTCAGGTAAGTCAAAAAAAATTTCTCTGGCTGCCCCCCCCCCCCCCCTTTCAAAAACGATGCTACGTGGCTGTGATCTGTGCGATAGTAAAATCATAAACATTAAGGGATCTATTTATAGTACATATGTACCCTTTAATGCATATATGACACCGATGTATAAGTTGCATTATACTACTTGGTATTTAAATCACATTAATACAAGTTCCCAGGTAGTCTAGTGGTTAGGATTCCGCGCTCTCACCGCGGCGGCCGGGGTTCGATTCCCCGTCTGGGAAGAGTTTTTTTTTCTCCTCCATCCTTGTTTCCTTGTTGAGATTTGAGGAACTTATGTTGATAAGGATACATTCACATTTTCGCATCTCAAGCCTACAAAAGATGTTACATACGTTGGTTTTTTTTAAATAACTATTTCTTGCAATCAAATTTTTTTTAATTTAGAATTAATCGAAATTAGAAATTTCTATAATCGTGTATAAAATGTAAAACTTTTTCTACAACTTTTTTTTAAAAATAAAAATTATATTGAACAATCAGTTAAATTTTCACAATTTTCACTAAATTTTACTGATGGTTTGACAAAAATAGATATTTAATTAAAGAGACTTCACTTCTTTATTGAGAGAGACATCTATAACTATTTAAGTAAATATTTATTTGAATTTTGAAAGAAAAAATGTTTAGGTTACTAGTATTTTTCCTTAAGCTTAATATTGATTATATTATACTTTGAGATTTTTATTCAATGGTAATTTTATGCAGTAAGAGTGATGAATCCTTACATGATATGGACCAAAAAATCTATATATAGCGAATGACTAACTTTGCAATAGATTAAAGTACTCTTTTTATTCAATTAAACCAAGAAAAGTTAATGAAGGCAGTCGAACGGTCATATACCCTATGTTGAAAATGAATTGATAAACTCATTTATATGTACAACTTTCTTTGATAGAATTTTCTCAAAGATCGCCGGACCAAAAAATATTTTTCAATAGTGTTTAGAGCTCCCCTTCAGGACATTAACCTGGTTTATAGAAAATTTAATAAGTTTTAAGGTGTACCGCTTTCATTTCAAAACATTCATTAAAAAAAAAATCAGTGAGGCAAAAAGCCAGGCTTATCGATTTTAAGTATGGATCGCACAGTGTGTGCAGCATCGAGTTTGTTGTGACTGAGACGAAAAGAGCGAAGTATTGACACTCTCAAATTTTCTTCTGTCATTTTTGGACAGGGTCGGAATTTTTGCGTTTTCAAATGCATTGAATGCCAACTTCATTAAATTCAAACTGAAGTAATTTCAAATGAACTGGAATTGTTTCGAATTCTTTTGATAGTCACAATAAATAAATAAATAAATAGATAAATAAATAAATAAATAGATAAATAAATAAATAAAAATTAAAAATAATACCGGTAAATGTAGATTTAAAAAAAACGCAATAATCATTACAGGTTGAACTCATTGGTTTCCTTCAAACCAGAAAGTTTTGGATAAATGGTCCAATGATCGATACTATATATAATAAATTTGAAAGCTATTTATCTAAGGTATTTTTTTTTAAATATAATGCAAAAGGTGATGACATACATGTATCTAATGGGACAGATATTTAATTTTGAAAAGTTCGCAAAATAAAACTATGGAGGAATGGTTCCCCCACAAAGCAAAACAATTTATTAAATAGTTTATACATAACTTATAGAATCTTCAAAAGTAAGTGTAGAAACTGCAGCTAAGTCAGAACATATTTGTGCATCGTTTTGAATAACTACAACCAAAAACAGTCAAAATGTGGGAATTTAAAAAAAGACATGCAGATGCCTGTTAAAACAGACCTGCATTTTAAGGATCAGGCATTAAATAATTGTAGAATTACTCGATGTATGCGGGTGCCCTAAATTTATATAATTTCTTCGACTTTGTGATATTTAAGAATGTTAGAAATAATGGGTTACAACAAATTATAATTCAGGACATATATACCGGTATATGAGATATTTGTGCTTCTCGGCTTCCGTAATTGTACTCGGTTTTCCTGTTTACGATCACGATGTTAAGTTTTCCGTAACGCATCAAAATAGCAACAATCTCAGTAAGATGAATCAAAAGCTCTGCTTTGCAAAAGCATAATGCAGGCTTGTAGTCTTTCTGAGAATGATGAGGAAAAGTTTTATAAGATAGAAGAATGGATGATCAAACCTAAGTCTAGAGTTGTTTTTGATTGGGACAATACCCTGAAAATATACCATAAATCGGATAAAACTTTATCATCAAGAATATCCAAAGAGCAACTGATCAGTTGGAAAAGAGACCTGTATTGTGAACTTTTCATCATAAGCGCTATTAGACCAACAAGAATGAATTTAGAGACGATTCTTTTGGAAGTTGAGAAGTTGAATCTTACGGAGGTATTTTCGTGCCATAATGATGAAATTGTTGTCGTTCCGGGAAAGTACGCTAAAAAGGGATCAGTTATTATTTGTGGGTACGACAAAGCGGAGACATTCTTAGAACTGTGTCATAAAAGTAAACCGAGTAGTGATGTCATTTTCTTTGACGATGAATTTGTTAATATTTACAATTTTCGTGCCCTAGTTCCAGGGAGCCACTGTTACCTCATTAGCTGAAGTGATTCCTTTTTTCAGGATTATTTTAATCTATAGTTATCCTATAGATTTTTAGCAGATCTTTTTCCATGTACATGTATATAAAACAGGGAGTATTCATAACTTTATTATTATTTTTTTGTTCATTTAGTAAATGTATTGACGCCATAGTGTTCGTTTAAAATTAATAGCCATTTCATTTGTACATAATATTTATATATTTATTTTTGAAATCCATGTATATTTCTTTTTTAAATCTTTATTCAATTTTTAAATCTTTATTCAATTTTTTTTTCTTTATTTGGTTATAAATAGCACATTGTTAATTAATTTTTTTTGTTATAATTTATATATATATCTATTATATTACTTCACGTAATTTACAAGAAGAATTAGTCATTTTGAGGCTTTTCTGCATAAAATTAGAAATATACCAAATTAATGTTGTTATATTTCCAGAATGGTCCTTCATGTCATATTCTTTGATGATTTATCGTAATAGTATTCATCTACTCAACTCATGTTAAAGCAATCGAGAAGGCTGCCGACCAACATAGCAATAAATGTGACCAATTTAGAAGGCCAATAAAGATTAATCTTACAATTAAAAAATTACATTTACATATGTTAAATACACTCAAATTACAATTTTGATCACAAAAGAAAATATATGAAAATAATAAAATGCATTTATTCAATTGCCAATCCGTTTGAGAAATTCTCCTGATTTTTACCGACATAAAGAATTTATGGGACTGAGCCGTTTTACTCGACAGTTCCTTATATTCCTATATAAGACCACGTTTTTATATTCTTTATGATGATAGCTATATTTGAATTCAGTTTCAACTAAAAGCCTTAAAACACACGGAGAGAGAGAAAGAGATAGAGAGAGGAGAAAACAAAAAAGAACAATGATTGATTTCGAAATTGGTTTAAAGGACTGGAGTTTTTAAATTTCCCTTTCTATACATGGTGAGTTGCGATTATCTAAATAGGACACCGCGTAAAATATATTCAGGGTAAAGTGCAGGTCTTTGACCCAGTTTTGGGCCGGTGTTCATTATCATATAGAGTAAACATCTTGCGCCTGATAGAACGCAGACAACGAAATGAGGTAAGATAAAAATACAAATGAAGCTCAGGCGCGTTCTCTCTGCCTTTTCAGATAAATAATAATTAGTTTTAATAGCACATGAAACTAGATGTAATGATATTGCAAATGCGTTTTATAGTAAAAAGTGGTTTCCACCTCTGTCCAACTTGGAGAGGGGCGTGGACGGACTCCATATTGATGACGTCACTCCCGATACCGTAGCTACGTCGTCACGCTATACATTTACTTCCGGTCCCGAGACAGAACCCCTGGTTCCGCCCATTTTTCATTCTTCCACATATAAACTACGGTCTGTAGATGATTATCTTAAGATCTTGGAGGAGGTAACCGACTTCTTAATTTTTCATGCGTTTGCATTTATAAGCGTTAATTAAATATATAGATTGAACCAGACGACGTTGATCCTTCGAAGTGAAACGCAAGAACACTCAATATATATTATAACGATTCAAGAAAATATGTAAATTTTGATTTCAACAGGGTGGATACATTTATTCAAGATTAAGCAACTTTACGTGTGATTCAGTTCAATCAGCAATCAATGGCATTGAAGGCGGCAAAGCCACTCTAGTCTTTGGCACTGGCATGGCTGCAATATCCACTGCGTTACTTTGTTTTCTTAAAAGTGGCGACCATATAGCAAGTATTTCATATCTATCTAACAACATTTTTCCCCCAAATTTTATTTAACAAAATAATTTTTTCTCATTTTTCTTATGTGTACATGAACAAACATCACTGGTGGGTTTTTTTTTTCGTTTGTCTGATTATAGGTGGTGAATAACCCTTGCTACAGTGGTACTTATGACATGGTTGTAAACATACTCCCTCGTTATGGAATCGAACACACCTTTGTCCCTACAGGGTGTCCGATCGAGGAGTACCACAAACATGTTAAATCTAACACTAGGGTAAATTTTGTTGATTTTATACACAAATATCTTCCCTTCTCTTTGAAAATCTCTTGCAGCACTAAACCTTCGTCAGAATCGATATTTCAACATCGTTATAATTGTTTGAATTTATCGATTAGCCTTAATTAATATATATCTCCTCTTTCTTTTATTAATAAACCATTCACACGAACCTTACTTTCAATTTTCGTTTGATCAGATGTTATATGGCGAGACACCATGTAATCCCAACATGGCTGTCCTTGACCTTGAGGCGTTTGGGAAGCTGGGAAGGTCATTAGATAATGTTCTTACAATGGTGGACAGCACATTCGCCAGTCCCTATCTTCAGCCTGTTATAAAACATGGAATCGACATTTCGATGCACAGCTGGTGTGTTTTTTCTTTAACGAATGTAGTTTTATATGCAATTAAATTGAAATCTGTGGTGACATATATTTATGCCAACCACATAATTTGCATTAGTATGCCACCATAGAAACCATTATCAATGCCATCCGGCATCGATAACTTTTTTACCGAAGAAAAAAATGTTCATGCTGTATATTTTTGCTAAAATGGAAATAAAAGTAAATTTTACTGATATTGTACAAAAAATTATAATATGCGTTGATTTTTTTTCAAATAAAGCACCAAATATCTCGGGGGTCACAGTGACCTTGTGGGTGGATGTTTGACCTTTGCCTCTGTTGACCTTTGGAAAACTGTGATTCACTATCAAACCAGTCTGGGAACGACACTGGTATGCTCAGCATCTTTACTATGGAATCGCTACATCTCGTGATGGTTCAATTTTTGAGTACCCCCACCTCATCTCTCATTTTACCATTTTTGACATCAAACATTAGACTAGTGTAATATGAAATAATTATTTTTCAAAATAAATGCATTGCATAAAAATATTCTTACAAATTTGAAAAATTTTGTAAAACAAAGAAATGATTTCTTAAAATCAACCAAATTATTTTTTCTTGTTTTAACTCAACATCTGTATCAGTTTCTTAATAAATGTTACATTTTTTATATTCAGTCACCCCACGATGCCAGTCTCCTCCTCCGTGGAATCAAAACCCTTCCTGTCCGCATGGAGAGACACAGCTCTAATGCCCAGAAAGTGGCCGAGTTCTTGGAAAAGCATCCAAAGGTGACGAAATGAATGGGGAATTTTATAGCAAAAGATTTTATCAAACCAACGTTTACGCGTAAAAGTACATGTAACAGGGGAATAAGCGGGGAATTTCTCTATATGTGCATTGCTTAATTATAACTTTACACGTACACAAACATGTAAGATTGATGACCTCTCTTATTAATGGAGGAAAATTTTCGTTTGGCAGGGTTGTAGCAACCGAGGGGGCCCGGGGGGCCGGCCCCCCCCCCCCCCCCCACTTTTTTTGCCAACAATACTTTTACTATTGAAAATGTTCATTGAAAGGCTGGTTGCCCCCCCACTTTATATTAAAGTAAAGTAATATGAAGGAAATATAGTATTGTAAGCTTTAAAAATGGATATCGAAAGGAATTGGTAGTGGAAAAAGTTTGCCTCTACACCCCCCCCCCCCCAATTTTCCTTTTTTTTTTTTTTGCTTGTCAACTTTTGCAGGTAAGTAAAAAAAAAAAAATTCAGTGGCTGGCCCCCCCCCCCCCCCACTTTCAAAATCGTTGCTACGGTCCTGTTTGGGTTGGTCTTCTGTTCGACTTACTATTTCTACAGGTTGAGAGGGTGATGTACCCTGGTCTTCCATCTCATCCGCAACATCAGATTGCAAAGAAACAGATGAAGATGTTCAGTGGAATGATCGCCGCTGAGATTAAGGGAGGGGTGCAAGGAGGGAAGATCCTTGTAGAGGTACCTCTTTTTTTTACATCTTGATAAAGAGACAAACCACTCAAGAACGTTTCATTTGTTTTGAAAAGAAAGTTTTCTCATTAAAACACAGGATAAAGCGCCATTTGATAAAATATAACTTTTCGCGATTGATTTTTAATTACGTCATTATTTTTTTTTTTTTTGGCTTGAATTATTTATATTTGCATTTTCATTGATAAATAGAATGTGCGCCTAATACAACTGGCAGTTTCCTTGGGAGGAGTAGAAAGTCTAATCGAACACCCTGCCACGATGACGCATGGCCCAATGCTGATGACGTCAGAGGACAGACTGAGTGGTGGTATAACCGATGGTCTTATAAGACTTAGGTAACATTTTATTTCAAAAAATTGAGTAAATGTACCAAGATTTATAATTGAATTCTAAAACATTATTTCCTAAATTAGGCCAAGTGTAGAAAAAATTTTTGGTTGCCCTCTCCCGACTCGTTCTGAAAATACTGCTCGGTAGGTAGGTGGGAAAAAAATAATTTTTTTTCAGAAAACTTCAATTTCAATGCTTATTTTTAAAATTAAATTTGCCAGCGTACACATAAAAAATAATTGCTTCCTGGAGGTTAAAAATTTTTTTTTGAGTTGGGCCATTTTTAATAGCCAGTCGGTCAGGAGAGGGCAACCAAACATTTTTTTAAACATGACCTTAAACAATTATTATTTTACATTGTATTCTTCTTCTTTTAGTGTCGGTTTAGAGGATGCAGATGACTTGATCAAAGACCTAACACAAGCATTAGATAAAATTCCAGACAGTCTCTTAGCTTAATGTGGATACAATTATAGTATGACAAAGTACCTTGAAGACGGATTGCTCACTGTACTTAGTTCATTAACGCAATAAAATTAGAACAGTAACCTATATATTGCACGCTTTGACATCCAATAGATCAGACTTCAAACAGAGGTACAGGACATGTTATAAGTAGGCTACTTTAATCCATCTTATTTTCAACGAGGGAAGACATTCTATCACTTCCGGTAAATGGCACCATGGATCTGGATATTTCTGATATCTGTTCTCGCCCAGAAGTCGAACACCGGACACCATTATGTTGACTATGGTCTTGCACAAAGAATTCAGTATCGTGGTATTAAAATCACAAATGCTTGCTGCGTCCAAATAAAACATGTCATCACAAAATGACCGTGAAAATCCGTACTTCACACCCTGTAATACAATATCATACACATACGTATACAAGTCAAACAGAAATTCATATATAAAAATGATTCCTTATTAGCATTTTGACTGAGTTCTATCAGCTTTTGCTGAGTACTTTTTTTTTAATATTTTGGTTGTTAAAAAAATTAACCCAAATGACATTTTCTTAAATGGACAAATACACACTGATGACTAAGTGCTTCTTGAAAAGTATAACCTATCATAAAAATAGAAATGCCCTTAGTACTTACACAGCCATAACATAAATCATGTCGAACACACGCTGTGGCCATAAACTTTTTTAAGAAGTTGGGAGTATGAGAACAACCGTCGACAAAAGGGAAGTAATCACACGTCTGTCCACTTAAAACCTCCATACATATAAAAAGTAGGAAAACCTGTTTAGATAATGCATTTTTATCAGTCTTCTCGAGCAATTTAAGAAAATATTAGAAAATACATAGTAGTATAGAACAAATACATTCATATTAATTTTGGAGTAAGGGAGGCAATCCAGACACCTGTCCCTCAGTGAGTTCAAAGATTTCACTAACCACTAAATATAAGGTTCCTAACATTTCTTTTTGTGTTTTCACTCAATGCCTTCCACTCAGAAAAAAAATTGTGATGTTAAATGTAAATTATTATAGCAGTTGTTTTTGTCCTGCAATCATTCGAGGATTTTGAGAAAACAAGAACGTAAAAAAAAAATACCAACCCTTTTGCCGACTCTGCAGATATCCGCCATTTCGAAATGACATGTGTGTGTGGAACATCCATAAACTAGTAAATAAAGCTCGCACTTGCTGTTTAAACAATAATCTTTGATCATTTGTGCATGAAGTGCATCGTCATCAAAAGAGTCGTTTTAATTCTTAATCTTGCTTTTTATGTGACCAGGTGCATGTCCAAGTAGTAATAGAGTATCAAATAATCTAAAATAAAACAATAACTCAAAATTTTCTTGAAGCGAATTTCGAAAATATAGGACACTTCCTGGATTTTTAACATTCAACAATCGATATTTCCTCTATCCGTACAGATGAATGGTGAGGACGTCAAATTAAATGTTCTTTTTAAAAATTATAAGCTAATTTATAGATTGATCGATTTAAACTTTTTCCATTGTATTTGAATGATGAAAATTAAAACATGTAATTTAAAATTTGAATATTAGTATATAACGTCTTCCATTCTAGAAAGGTACATTAGCAGCTAGGCATGTTTTTCATGTAATGTTTACGTGCTTCCTAAATTCCTTCCTATTCCATTATTTACCACAAAGCAGTTTTATACCCCCAAAGAATTTCTCAAAAATAAAAGATATTAATATATTGAGGAAGATCATCCATTACTACTAAATTACACAGCAGCAATAAGTTACTTTTTTCATTGTTTTAAATTCACATTCATCTGAATTTTTGATATTCGCAAATGATGGTGGTGGAATTTTATGAAATGTTATGCAATGCATTGAAACTTTGAGAATTTGATTGAATACTGTAAGTATAAGGGTATATTGACCGTTGAACCATTTTGCTTGTAGAAATTTTATTTAAAAAAAATACAAAAATCCTTATCTTGAGGGATATTTTTCGTGCCAGTACTTAATGTGACACGTACGGGACCCGGTGACCTCATTTTCCACGATGTCATCCGAAGGACCGGTCTCCATGTCCCGCAGTGGGGTTCAAGTCCGTGACGCTCTGCGACTCTAAATCCATGTTAAGTATAATGCAAATGCTCTAACCATTGCGCCCCATTTTTTTTTTCTAACTTATGACAAACGAACAGAAATATTTCATTTGACAGATATTATCAATTGCAATTAACAAGCCAGATACCTTTACCAAATTTCCAAGAGATATACATGTACTATATATATAGATAGCAATCTTGATTAGAGATTAGATTTCTGATTTACCCGGTGACTGACTTTTTTTCATACTAATTGTTAGTCCATTATTAATACACCGAATTGACGACGGATTTTTCCGATCATGACAATGAGCACACGGCGGGTGTGACCGGTCGGCAGGGGATGCTCACTCCTCCATGACACCTGATCCCACCTTTGCTGTTTTGGAGGTTCGTGTTTGCTCTGCTCCTATTTTGTATTGTTTTATGGACTTTGATATTGAATACAGTTCGTAATCTCCATATCCTTCTTACATCTGTGGAAATTGTATTAAATAATTTTTTTTAATTGTGCCAGAATTAAAGGTTACAGTGAACTTTACGCAAAATGTCACGTGTCAGATCTTCGACCTCCGACGTATTAATTTTCGATCTTTGGTGATTCTATGTCTATTTTTTAGGTATATATGAACCTGGCAGAATTTTGTCATATTTGGGCGTGTCATCTTAATTAAAGGTCACAGCCAGTTAGATCATATAATGTCAGAAACACAAACATGAAATGTACTAGTTGATTGAAGTTTGATAATATTAGGTCTCGTAGTATTCATGAATGTTATGAGTCGGACACGAAAAGGCTACAGACAGAGGAACGGACGGACGTACTAAGACAAGAAAAAAAAACCCTTTCAAAACAGGTCATAGGACCTTATTTCTTACCCCAAATATGAAATATTTCAGACTCAGTGTGCTGCAAAAATAGTTAATACACGAAGGGTTTGTTAAGTGGCAAAATTTATTTTGCCTTTCAAAGCATGATTAAAAATTTCGGAACAGAGAAAAGAAGAGCGGTGCTTTTGAAAGAGGAGCTCGCAAATTTTTTTTTTATTTCACGGAAAAAAGACATCACAATTAGCCATAAATATTATACATAAAGTAAAAGCTTCTGCTTATAAATACAACAATCAGTAATATTAATGGTCCAAGTGATTTTGGTCCATATAAGTTAAAATTAAAAGGCATACAATTTTAAATGCTGATTTAAAACTTTCATTGTTTTTGTTTCTTAAAAACATTAATCACACATCTTCCTTCCTTTTGATGCCGTTTGAGATGAGAAGCAACCACATATGTTTTGTCGCATTTGTCGCAGGCAAAAGGTCGAAGACCAGAATGGAGTTGACGATGATTTTCCAAGGATTTTAAAACAATGAATTGTTTTCCACACGTTTCACACTCGTAATTCTTCTCACCTGTGTGAGTTTTCAAATGATACTTAAGCATTTTCGAACAGAAATAATTTTTACTACAAATTCCACACTCATAGCTTCTCTCTTTCAAATGAACCCGTTTGACGTGAGCTTTACGATTGCCCGCCGTTAAAAAAGCTTGGCCGCAGACGTCGCATAGATGTGGCTTTTCATTTCTATGACTCATCATATGACGTTCAAGATGACCTTTACGTGAGAACTTTTTCTGGCACTGCTCACATTCGAATGGTCTTTCGTTCAAATGAACCGCTGATACGTGCATTGCTAAATTTCTCTTGGCAACAAAAGACTTGGAACAAATTTCACATTTAAATGGCGTGGCAGAGGTGTGGATTTTCATGTGTAACTGCAATAATCTGTCTGTGGTGAAAGCTTCCTGGCATAAACCGCAAGTAAATGGTGTGGGCAAAGTCTCACCATGAACACTCTCCACATGGCGTTTTAGATGGGCCCTTTCCTTGAACCTCTTATCGCAGATAAAGCATTCATGAGTACCAGTTTTCAGTATATGCACATTTCGCACATGTCGGTCCAAGTCTGGTCTTCTAGTGAAATTTTTGTCACAAAGGACGCAAATATGTGATTTTGGAAAACTTCTTACTTTTGCGATGGGAGTTTGATTCGGTTGGCTTTGAACAATTGAAGCATGATTTGAATTCAAAGAGTCTAAATTATCCCAGGCACTAATAACGTTATCTATATCATTAATATTGTCCTCAGCGTTTAAATCTTCATTTTTTTCAAATTGCAAGTGCATATGGTCTTTGCTCTCTCGGTCAATGTTTTCGTCAAGGTTTTCGACAGCTTTAATCATCTTTAGGCTTAAAGGGGAACACACATCAAGATGTCTGCAAATAATAATAAAATGCATCTTAGTCAAAACGTCTGATACACAACGGACTGAAAAAGTGAATAAACTAGGTTTAAACTATAGTTTAATTAGAAAAATAATGGCCAAACAATAATTGTTATCATGGTTATGAAACATGTAAGTCACAATAGGTCTTAATTAACTACACTGTATACAATTGCAGGTTGATATATTGGAAATCAGTTCAACACTGATCAAACAAGCTAATTCAGAGAATTCGTGTCCCCCGCTTAGGGAAAAGGTCGGCTCCCCCTGACTGAATTTGTAGAATTATTAAATGTATACATGTATACTGAAGGAAATAAAATACATGTATGTCAATATGCATATAAAGATTTGATTGCTTATTCTTTATTATGTGTATAGAAGATTTTATTATATGGAATATTTATCACACTGTAATGATGATTTTATAACCTCATAAATTTTTCATTTCACATGCTGAATACTATCATTTAGTAAAAAAAAAAGTATTTAAAAAAAAAAAAAAAAAAAAAAAAAAAAGGTTCGACCTAGATTCGATCCCGGCACCTCTCACATTGGAAGCGAGAGACATAACCACTAGGCCACGGAGTCGCTTTACATGGAATGAAGTATATGCAGAACTGAAGTCACATACATGTATATATTCATGTTTTCATGTTCGGTATTGTCAAAATTTTACACAATCCATGGTGTTTGATTTATTTAGCCTTTATTAAACAGTTCTAATAGATGTAATAAGAACATAAAGTCCGCCGAGAACCTGTTTTATACGCAATAACTCTCCTCATGCCCCTGCGCTAAAAACAGCGACATGTAATACTATAAATACTAATAAAACAAACGGGGCGGGGCACTTTGAGAGGGGCGAGAGACGTCCTAGGGAGTTTTGGTATAAAATTACATTGCATAAGCTCAAAATCTTCTTGAAATATCGCCCGGAAATGATAGTGTTACACACAGACAGAATGTATAAATTTACGACCTTGAACTTTGACCTTTTGACCTCAAAATCAATAGGGGTCTTCATTAGGCCACAGGGAGTTGTTATGTAAAATTTCATTGCGATAGCTCAAATGGTTCTAGAGATATCGTGTGGAAACGAAAGTGTTTTAACAGACAGAATTTGCTTATTTATGACCTTGACCTTTGACCTTTTGACCTCAAAATCAATAGGGGTCTTCTTTAGTCCATAGGGAGTTGCTATGCTAAATTTCATTGCAAAAGCTCAAAGGGTTCTTGAGATATCGTGTGGAAACGAAAGCGTTACAGACAGACAGAAAGACGGACGGACGGACGGACGGACAGACGGACGGACGGACAAACCCAAATTAATATCCCCCACTTTTCAAGCGGGGGACAATAAAATATTTAGTACATATATGAACTAGAAAACACGTGCAGGACATTTACGATAGTTTCAGGAAGAGTATGTGAAGTAGCAGATGATGGACAATTATAGAGAAAAAACCAGTGCACTACGATGTGTAGTGTAGACCTAAAATGACCTATATTATTTCGTACGATAAAGACGAGAACGGTCAACCGTAGATTCAAACAGAAAAAAAAATCAATCGCAGGCGGATAATAACAGAAAAAAAGGATCATACACATATAAAGAAGAAAAGTTATACATTCTTGTTGTTTTATACAACATCTAACGATCATAACACTGTACATACGTCCAAGTCCGAAATGAAATAAGGATCTTACGCTCACGACCCAAGCTACGAATCCGTACACAAACAACATATAGTCCTCTCGGAACCCACTTTACTGCATTTTATGGATGGGCATTAGCGTTATTATTTTTTTGTATCACGAACTCGCATGCTATACATTAAAATGATTATTTTTTTCCTGATTCCTTTAAGGTAAGGTTTGCGTTTACAGGGAGATAACTCTTGCAAATCACCAAAGCGTTTGAAACAGGCGAATTTAAACTGGGAATGCCTAATTGAAGACCTACAGGTAATTGAAGACCTACAGAAGACCTACGGAAGACCTACAAAAATGGGGGATATATACAGCAAAACTGATATGATATTCTGATTAAGCATGTCCTAAATATATAATATACACAAAAAAAAGTTTTATAAAAAGAAGTTTTAAAGTGTATTTTTTAAGCTCGGTAATGGGAACTATTTCTTCTCTCAGAAGACCTACAGCAAGAACGATAACTCGCGTAAATAACAAATCAGCTGTTCACCAAAACATATCAAGAAAATGTAATTATCAGAAAAATGTAATTAAAAAGTAATATTAAAGGACGAAAAAAAATCATTGGAGATACTTTATATACATAGATCAAAGATAAAAAAAATAAAATGCAATATTCAGTCAGATACAATTCTATTTTGTTAAAAAAAAAATAGTTATTAAAATCATTAAAATTGTAAACACTGTACATAATTTATAATACCATCATATGCCAATCATAAAATCATCATAAATACATACACTTGTATATACGTTATATTTAGTATTTTATATGTGTTTATAAATAAATCAGTATAATATTTAGTTCAGGTTTGATAAATAATAAAAATTCATTGTGATAGAATGATTTGTGTTCTTGTTATTGATAATACCTAGTAATGTCATTTATAACATCTGGAAATTTTTATAAGATTTGCATTTATGTAGAGAATGGAAATTTCAAAATTGCAGTTAAAAGAATTTGAAGTAATTTTTCAAAAAGAATACAGACATAATCACTTTCAAAATCTTATTTCCCAAGAGTCAAAGCATCATCATAATTTTTTTTTTAAATATGCATGCATTTTTATGATAACATGCATGTTTATTATTTTATTCAATTTTAAAAAGTGTGTATTTTCTTTTAATTTAATTATTGAATGATATACCAGGCCCCGGGATCATGAAGCATCTTAAGCTTAAGTCAAAAATGTCTTAGATGCTGAAATTTTTTAGAGGTCAAACAGTCCAAAATGAAAATGCCTTCCGACTTTGAATCATCAGTCTGCTGTTGTTTGCAAATTATGAGTTTCTTTTAACAAGTTTTAAAGATTTTATAGATAATTAAAATTTTGAATTAAGTCTAAGTCTGTTTCATGATCCCGGGGCCTGGTATCTTCAAGATTGATATAATGTACATATATATTTTAGCTCAAAATGTAAAAGAAATAAAACCTTATGTTTTATATTATAGTGCCTATTTCTTGGCTTACAGCATGTTATCTGGAAATATACATTTAATTAAGTTATTAAATATTCCTCGTGAATGTTATATAAATGTGTTATATTGAAAAAAGATGACCATTTTGAATATTAAAAAAAATTCAAAACGTAATTCATTTTATTAAGTTATATTCTGAATAAATGCACAATAATTTTATCTGTTTATTCTTGCTAGCATTTTTAAGATATAAAATAAATATTTTTTTTTATATCTTTGCTCTGTTGACTGCAAATTAACATTCATCAGAGCAAGTGGGGTGTGTTGATAATTGCAATCAAAACATGGATAAATCCTCAGGGTGACTGTGTATACAACAAATTAGTGAAGATCGAAGCCCTTAGTACAGAGTAATATTGGTTAATTGAGACAAATCCACAGCATACATATCAATAATTTGAACTTGAATATTTAATATTTATCCCATAAAACATATTTAAAAAATTACACTATTTATTAAATATTACCTATAGATTTCAAGTAGAATATTAATTTGATAAATGAAATAATCATGATAATTATTTATATTTTTAACTTCATCAAAATTCATCATCCAGCTGATTTCTTTATCATAATTCATAATTTAAAAACTCAACAAAATCATTTGCATTTTTTATTTTGTCTTATACATATTCTTCCTATAAACTTCACAGTATAAATGAGCGTGTTGTTGTTTACAAGACAAGTCATCCAGAGTTATCGTTCTTGCCGTAGGTCGTCTAAGAGAAGAAATAGTTCCCCTTACCGAGCTTAAAAAATACACTTTAAAACTTCTTTTTATAAATTTTTTTTGTGTAGTTTACATATTTAGGCCATGCTAAATCAGAATATCATATCAGTTTTGCTGTATATATCCCCGATTTTTGTAGGTCTTCTGTAGGTCTTCAATTACCTGTAGGTCTTCAATTAGGCAGGCCGATTTAAACTAGCGATGCAAAGCATCTCGGTAACGAATTTCCTCTGTCATACTTGATGTTTGTTGTCACTTAGTTATTGTTAATGTTAGGACTGAAAACAAAGGACGTTTTCAGGAGAAAGTCTTATAACAAATCAAAGCATAGGAATCTTAGAAGCCTTTGAGATAAGCGTGATGCATGTGGATGAACCAATGAAGGAGGACTTGTTTATTTTCAATACGGAACGTGGCAAGTTGCACGGCCATTCCGATCAGAAGAAAGTCATTGACACATTGTGCTGTTGTGTTTTTCTCGCCTCACCACTACACTAAAATTTTAAGTGAGAATGGGAAAGAAAAAAGAAAAGACCTGAGAGTATCCTGTAAAGTATTATGCTATATGCAGTCTGAACAGGGAAGAAAAGTCACGGTGCATTTGACCATGTCCAATGATGATGTTGACAGTTTGATTGTTGATAGTATTTTCATCAGGTAATTATTTAACAATTCATTTTACTGAAAGTTATGAATGATCTACTGACTACAGATTTAAAAACGAGGAATAAACGGTACAAAGATGTCAGGATGTAACTTATATCCCAAAATTGCAAAAATATAAAATGCATTCATTCAAGAAATTTCGAAAAATAAAACCCTTGCTTTTTATACCTAATATTTGTAACATTATTTGAACATGTATTCAATTGTTCAAGTTACCTTTTTAAATGAGGTTTGATTTTACTCAATATCTCATTTTCTAATTGATAAAAAAACAGATTGTGCATGACAAGAACATTAATTTTCTTGATCAAGTATTTGCATTTCACTAATTCAATCTGTAAATTTTACAATAATTTCTTATTGATTCTTCATTGATTATATTGGAAATTTATTCATTTCATTGAGTGAATGAAACTCAGTGCAATATGCAATCCAAAAATGCAATTCCTTAAATGTTATTGTAAAAATGAACACATATGATTTCAGATCATGGGTCATTAATTGGAATAGATAAGAACCAAAAAAAGTACTTCAGTGTTTCCTTAAAAGATTTGTGCCATCAATCAAAAGAGATCATCCAATATCAGCTCAAGAATATCAAAGAAAGTTGGATGGATCAAGCTAAGATGTTGAACCAGACATGGCAAAATCAACGGAGATTTGGAGAACTTCTGACTTGTTAAACACAATGCATATTTTTATATGTCTATATAGATTATACAAGAAAATTTAATGTTTAACAAAATCCTATCTAGTACATACATGCTGTTTTCCATATATTATGAAATATGTGTATGTGATAATTGCAGTGCCTGCTCTGTTTGTCCATCTTTGAAACTGTTTTCAGTAAAATAAATGTATACATCGATCATAGGTATTAATTGAAGGTTGCTTTTGTCTATACTTACATGTAACAAGTTTCTTAAAAGGGTTTGTGAAATTGCAAGGAAATTAATACATGAACAATTAACATTAATATTTTTATTCATTAAATTTTGTTCTTACCAGGACCTTATATGCTCAATTAAGTATTTCTGAAAATTGATGAGTTTTGTACATAAAGCTGCAGTGAACATGTATAATTATATCTACTGTAACAGTTTAAAACATGACACTTGGAAATTGTAAGGTTGTTAATTTAGTAGGAATGATAAGACAAGATTAATACAGTAATCTACAAAAATTAAAATCTTTCACAAATACATGTACATTTGTAGTTTATTATAAAATTGTTTACATTTATAATCTTTTAATTTTTTTTTCTGTATTTTGATTTTAAAAAGGAGAAAATTTTGTTATATTTATATTTAATAAATTATTATTATATTTCATGGATATCAAGGAGATATATCTATCACTGTAGCATTGTTTCTTTTTCCCTGTTCTTGACAATTATTTATGACAGTGTTATGTCATTTTGCAGAATTTGTCTTTTCTCTGAAATCAGAAGTACTCTGTAAACTCATTAAAGTATGAATTGATGTCACTTAGAATTCATCTTTATTTTGTTATGTGTGATATTTCAATTAAGATTCTCAGACTACCTAATCCATTAATTGAGCTTATGTCCATGAAGTGTAGAAATAGGCCATCTTTAAAAAATGTTTGGTTGTCGGCCTCTCCAGACCGACTGACTAAAATGACCAGACTGAAAACTTTTTTTTCAATGCAGGGTTATATTTTATTTATTTTAATTTATTCTTCTTATCCCCCTTAAAAAATGTGGATGAAGATTTTCTCACCTACCAACCCAATAATTTTACCCTGAGTCAAGAGAGGGCAAACAAAAAATTACTTTAAAGATGGCATTTCTACTCTTTGAAGTGAAGAAATCATTTAAGACCGCGGAACATTAACTGGCAAAATTGGAAATATACAGCTTACGTCATTTCTATCTGTTACAATCAAAACATTCAGTGATAGACAACGAAATGGGCGGGTACAATTCGAAGCGGACGTTTGGAAAACATGAGATTGAAACTGCAGATCGAAATTCATTTTCAATCCACCTCGGCTACACTAGAAGGCACATTATTACTGATTGACCCAGAAGACAAATAATTTCAATTTTGGTACAGTTTGATTTTTTTGTCCAGTGTTTTAAATGAATAAATATTTAAGGGACAAATATTTCATTTTTGTTGTCCAACAGTTTTCAGTGAGAATAAGTTTAA